GCATACATACATACATATATATATATATATATGTATGCATGTTTTTATGTATGTATGCATGTATGTATTAGCCAAAAAAAAATTCTGCACACGCGTGCTCGGTTGACCTGATGTCCGAGTTCTGTGCGGGGTGGTTAGGGTTGTTACTACAACCTCCATACACACATCATGCACACAGTCAGTCTCGGTGTGGATTAAGCGAAGCATGTCACCAAATCCCGCCATCATCGGTCCAAGTGTGACCTGATCTTCCAAGTTTCGCTTTATGTTAGCACACGCAACTAGTTTTACATGGATCCCAGCGTCTACACACGCCATCTGCGCCATCAACAGTTTAAGTTCGCTCTCAAGATGTACATGTCTCGCCTTCAAGGCATCTCTACCATACCTCAATCGGTTACAAATACGCCCATACAGGTCATCCACGGGACCAATCATCTCAAGTGGTGGCAAGGTGTATCTGTTCCGAATTATCTCACAGAGGTGCTCGCAAAAGAGAATGCGTTTCTCGAACCTCGTATAGGATTCGTGTGCCGCAGCGCACAGTTTAGACTTTTCCAATAAATCTTGGCTTCCCCCTAGGACTCCAACTAGGTTTCGTGAGGTGGCATCAGAGGCAACCTTAGTCTTGTGTAGTGCTTATGTTTGGGCTATGCGTAGGCGTTCCATAATATTACTGTTTAGAATATTAAGAAAGAAAACATTTCGAAGGCGGTTATTATCCGCGTACTTGCACTTCGAAGCTTGAATGAGACCCACATGGCTGTGTCATAGAGCGAAAATGCGGTCAAATACAAAATTCACAGAGTGTGCTAGCTGCACGCGTCTTTGAAAATCGTACACAGTACAGTACGTTGGTCGAACATGACAGCTGATTCATGTCGTCCAATCAAATACAAGCTAGTGATAAGAATTCTGTACTGTTGTAAAATGTAAACAGTCATACAGAGACTTTGTAAGAGGCCTGTCTGCTCTGGGGGGGGAAAAGCGACTGCGGCCTGAGGGCCTGAGGCACAGTATTTATATGAATCATGATTACAAATACAGCTTGATCTATGTTTAGATGTGCAGAAGTACACGTTCGAGACGGAAAAAATATCAAGCAACATGACGGTCGTAACTAAGATAGCGCGCATTGTATCTCCGGTAGACGGAAGTGTATATGCCACCCGGGACTACAGTAGTACCACTGAGATCGACGATGCTGTTGACAATGCTAGTGATGCGTTCAAGGAGTGGAAGAAAACGTCTATCGAGGAGAGAGTTTCGATCGTAGAGAAGTATGCTGACTATTCGATAATTCTTCTGCTATTAGCAATAATATATTGAAATTTCTGTTTTCAACCAGATTATATCGTGTTACATATATA